TTTATACTGTCATGATCCAATGCACCTATTTATTCCGGCCTGATTGCATATCCTTTGTTTCATTTTTTTATTATTTTATTTTATTTATTTATCTCAATAATTTTATTTATTTATTTATTATTTGAAAAATGGAGCTTTTTATTTATATTATTTTTGTTTCATATTTTATTTATCTTTTATTATCTTAAATAAAAATATTTGACTTCTCATATTTATTTATTTTAATTTAACTTCTCTTAATTGCATTTATTAATTTTTTAAGTAATAATAATTAAAATAATAATAATAAATTATTAAAATTAGATTAAATGCAATGTTTTTAATTTATCATACTATATTTGAATTCTTTTTATCGCAAAATTTAACTCTTATCAATGGGACAATAAATTCTCTCCAAAATCCTTTTTATGTTATTTTATTCTTTTTTTTAATTATTATGTTAATTATTTCTCGGTTAATTTAGGATTATTATCCTTTATTTTATTTATTATATATTTGTAGAATATTGATGTAGTTTAATTTTATATTCATGATTACCTCTTATTATATTATTAATAATAAATAATATAACTGCATTAATTTATAATATTAATGTATAATTTTTCTATCGTTGTGTGTTATAATTGATAAAGTCTACCTATATTAATGGGACTTTAGGCAATATTAATTTATCATAAGTTATTTTCAATTAATTAAAAAATTATCTTAATAATCAATTAAGATGTATTTCCCTATAATTATTATTTTACTAATCAATCAATTTACATCAAAATTATTTTATTAATACAATAATTCATAATGCTAATGTGTAGCAATTTTACCTTTATGCGTTATAAATTATCAAAACCTATGTATATCAACATAGCTTAGGTTTTATATACAATCAATATATTAAAATAATTTTATCTGATTTCTAAAACTAAACAATTATGTTGTTTTATTTAATTAAAATCTATTATTTAAAATATTTTAATTATATTAATGCAGCGATTTTATAGCATTATTATGTAGCTCTTTACCTTCATATACTTTAAATCGTTAAAAATTTTGTGTGCCAATATTATCTTGGGTCCTATGCAATATAAATTTATCAAATAAAATTTTAATTTTTTATTAAATAATTATTTTCTTTAATCAATTTAAATATATTTATTCCTTTTATTAAATGAAATCAATTTCATATTTTAATTTTTCTTAAATTATATTTCTAATTTTGATAAATTAAGTAACCAATCATTTCTTTATTTTATTATATAAATTTTTGTAATATCGATGTGTGATTTACATTGTCTTTGATTGTCCAATAAATTATAAGAGATTTATGTATAATTTACGCTATCTTAAATTCTCTTTCAACATGAATCATAATTTAAATATAAATTTAAATATTTCATTTATAAACAAAATATTTTTAACGATTTGCAATATAGTTGTGTAATTTTCCTGCACTTTTCATGTTGTTTCTCGAAGGATACATTTATAATGGCATTATCTTGTATCCTAAACATTAACCTTATTAAAATAATTTTAATCTCAAAATAAACTTTCTTTTACTAAACTTATTTTTAATCAACCAACTTCATAATTTTTAGGTAGAACTACGTGTCTTTGAGTCCCCATTGCAGTTATGTAGAAGCAGGAATTTGACCTGTCAAATCAAAATAATTTTTAAAATAAATTTTCTCTTTGCCAAGATATCCAACAATATTTCAATAAATAAATTTTTTTAAAATAAAAATAAAAATAATTATTGCTTAGGGGTTAAATAAATATTTTTTAAAATTAAAATAAATTTGCACAATTAATTTAAGGTAACCGTTTTTAAATGGACGTTGTAGAGTGCTAATACCTTCCCTATACGTAAACGACTCCAACTTATTTTTTGTTTCAAAGATCATATTATTTTAAAGGTTTTGTTAGCATCATCCTTAAGGCTAAAATAAGCCGCTAATAATAGTAAAATTTTAGTAAAAATAAAAGTATTTATTGTATTTGTATAACTTAAATACAATAATTGTATACTTTTTTCATAATTTTTTTTATTTGTGAATACTTAAACTCAGTCCTAAGAGTTGAGGTTAATAAAACCCTTATTTTTAAAGTTTTTTCAAAATTTTCTTAAAATAAACTTTAGTAGCGACTTCTTTAATTTTTTAGAAAATATTTTTATTTTTAAAAGATTTTTTTTAGTTTTTCTTAACACGTTTCGCTGTTGCTGTCCAGTTGCGACATCTTAGATATTATCTTTACTTTAAAGAAGTTTGGTTTCACTTGAGAATATCATTTCCTTTTATAATTTCTACTATCCTACTACCACTTGGATTGTTAACTTAGCTCAATATAAACATTGTATTTTTTATTTATCCATCCTTTAGTGGCTTTGGTGCTGGAAAAATAAGATACTCTTTGATAAGGAGAAATGAAATATCTATCATGTTTTAAATTTCATTGGTCAGTTGAAGAAAAATTGTTCTCTACTAATTTCAAATAAGTTAACTCTTAAATTCACATTTTTTTAATGAAATGTCATGAAATCTATCATCTTCCGATTACTAAAAAATTAAAGTTTATGGTACTTGTAAGATAAATCATATGAGGTGTGGTGTTGTTATTTGAGATCATAGTAGTAAATGACTAACAAAGTTTACATTTTTTTTTTTAATAATAATGTATTTGCTCTTTGTGCTGAATTGAAATTAATCTCCTAGGATTCTTTTTGACCATATCAAAAAATTATCATATGGTAATTTTAAAATCTTATTGCTTAGAAATGGAGAATCTTATCTAAAGAAATCGAGATTAGTCTCTCTTGAAGTATGTTCTATTATATAAGATATTCATAATCGTATGCAATCCTTTTCTCATTTACTCATAATATGTTGTTCATAAAATTAACTCGTAGATGACAAAGTAAATCATTTGACACTCTTGTCCAAAGATTCTTTTCATCTTCTAGACGATCCTATGAAAAAAATGATATTATAATAATTTTTTAATAAAATATCTGTTTTCGCAGGATATAAACATTTAGGCTAAAATGCATTTTTGGTTCTCCAACTTAATTTTGTTTTTTAATTCTCCAACTTTTAATTGCATGATTTTAGTCTCCTTATTTTCTTAATTAAGCAAATTTCGTCCTTTCATTAATTTGCCATCTAATTTTTAACGACAAATGTACGATCTTCTTCTTCCTCTTTTCCTATCAATCGGAATCCGTAATTCTTGACAGTGCTCCCTCTCTTCCCCTTCCTGGACTCCACCATTGCCAACAAAGCTCTTCTTCTTCCTTTCTTTTGGTTGAACTTTGAACCCTTAAAACAATTTTAGACAAGTTTTTCCTTGTATTGGTACTTTGGATGCAAAAATAATCTTAGATAAGTTTTTCTTATATTGGGAATTTGAACTCTTAAAACCTTGAATATGTCACCATGAAACAAGCCAAACGCATGCTTCCTATTCATTTTTTGCGTGAAGTTGGTGGGTTGTTGTAGCTTCAAATTAAAGCATATGGTTGCAATTTTTAAACCTATAAGGAAGAAGAGCTCCATTAACAATAAGAGAGTCAAATAGAGAGAGAGGAGAAGCATTACCAGCAATACAAATTTTGGTCAAGGAAGAAAAAGAGAAAAAAAAAAAATACTGTATAGTTGTAATTAGAATTTAAATAACAACTGAACAAAATGATAAAATTTACTTAATTAAAAAAATATTAAATTATACAATTAAAAATTAAGGACTAAAATTGAATAAATATAAAAGTTGACGAACTAAAACTAAAATTTAGTCAAAATATTTATCATATGATTAAATATCAATATAATTTTGCTCAAAATTTTTATTTTATAATTAATCTCACCTATCGAGTAAGGATTTTGTTATTGAATACGAAGTCTTTATCTTTTATTTAATATAAGTATTTATTTATCTTTATATAAAAGTAAAGTAGTGTGAACCAATATTTTTCATACCTATATTAAAAGGGTTTATGAAATATTTCAATAAATTATTAAAATCTCTGATCAACATTAATTTAAGTCATAAATATACAAAAAAAAAGAGAAAATATTTGAATTTTAAATTTATTTTAAATTATAATATAACTCTATTAAGTTTATAAATATTTTCAACAATAACATCCAAATCTCCTTAAATGCTTTATAATCGTTTACCTCAACATTCTTAGGTTTTATAGAGAAAATAACATTCTCTGTCTACAGATGCAGAATGGCCCCAAGAATAGTATATCAGAATATTATCTTATACGGTTAAAACAAAAATACTCAAATACTAATTGTAACGAAAACATGTAATAGAAAGCTTGAAACATTTTAACTTGATCCTATGATTCTTTTGTGAAGATAAGAAAAAGTTCTTTACAGCATCTTTCATTATGCGACTAATAAAAGTTACATCATTTTTTCAGACTTTAAATTTGTTACTTGTGTAAGCAACTTTCTCTCTTTTGAATGCAATATTATTTATCTTCTGTATTAATAATTTTAACCATACTAATAATAACAATTGCTTATTTTTAAGTAATTTTCATTAATTATAATATAGAAAAATTATAAATTAGTAATTTAAAACTTCAATCGTGTGTCATTCAATTTCGAATTTCGAAAAGATATACCCTTAATATGTAATCTATATATAACTCTTTAATTAATCTATTTCTAAAATTATCATTAAGAAATATAAATTAATGTTTTAAAATTTGAATCATGTGTAGTTTAGTCTTTAATTATAAAAAAAACCCATTAATTAACTTTTTTTTTTTAGTTTTTAATTCATATGATTTTTTATTTTATAATTCAAAATTTTATAATTTGCCTGGATTGAATTGGTTCATGACCACCTTTGACCACGAGGATTTTAGCAATTTTATTTCTATGCGATTAGAGGAGGTAAACATTGAGCACAAAAATACGACACCGTATGGCTTGTTCTCACGAGGCATGACCCCAATCCAATTGCACTCCAGTCCCTTTCCTGGATCTCGAGCAGAATAACTTTCTCAACGTTTTCTCACCGTTTCTCAGCATCAAAACAAGATCCTTCATTTAATCACCACATTCTCCTGAAATTTTTTGCGAGCTATGAGTTACAGAAGGTTCGTTTTCGAAAAGACACCTTTCATTGTTTGATATGTTCTATCTCTCTTGATTTTAATTATGCCTTTTTTTTAATTGCAAATTGAAATGCACGGTCATGACGATCTTGCATTCATGTCACGTGTTTGTGTATTTTGTTTCCCCTTAGCCATTCATTGATTCTAACTTTAAGGTTTGGAGGATGATTTTGATTTTGGGGTAGTGCCGGATCTGGATGTTGGAATGACTATTAATAACTATTGCTGGGAATGCATGTGTATATTAGTCATTAGTACTTCAGTAACAAGGTGAAGCTGAAGACGATCATAAAGTTTTTGAGTGTTGGATTAAGTAATTTTGTATTCGAAATAGCTTATTATCGATATTTTAATGAGAGTGCATGTCTGGTTTGGATTGACTTTTGGATAACTTCTTTTTATCTTTTCTTTTCAATTTATCTGTAAGATTTTTTTATTATAGGGTGTTTTGGATCTTTGAATGTAAAACGAAGTAGTACAAATTTACGTGGAGCTTTTGAAATATATAATTTTTTGAATTAATCCAAACCATGCATGGCCTTAGAGTTTTAATAAAATGCTCGAGTCCTAAAGTTTTTGAGAACTAATAAGCAGAAGTTATAATGTTATTGGGAAAGATTTGAAACCCTTGCTCACTTGTTAATGCTTCTTTTACTGTTTTTGAATCAAACGAGAAGAGTGAAGATTTTAGAAAATTGGAGGATTTTGGGTTCAAACAAGATGGTGGGTCTTGGTGCGATGGTAAGGTTGCTTTCTTGTGACTCATAGGTCACTGGTTTAAATACTGAAACAGCCTCTCCCCTAGTAGGGGTTAGGCTGCTTTCACACTAGACAGTGCATCTACCCTCCCTAGAGCCCCCTAGGTGGGAGCCTGGTGTATTGTACTCACTCTTATTTTGATTTAAAACAAGGGAAGTAGCAACACTCTGAAAAATGAAAACTGCATTCTTTGTTTAGGGCTTGATGTTAGCTTAAGTTTTGTTGTGTTGTCTATGAATGAGCAATGACCTTGAGACTACCTTTTTTACTATACGTCCTGTGTTGACTTGATAGCTATTCTGTACAGTATTACTATAAGTATTGTTGTCAAAATCACAATCATACTCGTAGGATTGCAAAATTCCATGAGTTTTGTCATTCATTATCTTTGTGCTTGATCACACCTAGGATCACAACTTTGTGGGATTGAAGTGAAACTGTTGATCAGACTCACAAGATCATAGGATCTGTGATTTTTCTTGATCTGGATGTGTTTATTGCGGTTGAGTTTGCTGGTCAGGTTTCACAATCTGTGTTGCAAAACCCCAACAAATTCTCACCCAAACTAACTCTAATCTCTACCACTTCACTCACACTAACTTCGCCTCACCACCTCCCTGTGCACACTTTGCAGAAAGAAGTTTGAAGCTTCTGTTTCAAGCCTCCCTTTCTGCTTTTATATCCTGCTCTCTCATATCAATCTCTTCTCTGCCTTTTAAAGCTTCTAATTTGATAAATTTTGCAAGTATTAGAGTTTCTGGTCTGGTCTACATTGGTGTGTTGGAGTGTCTCTCTCTTCTTTTAGGTCTATGGGAGTTCTGGTAAGGCTGGCTAAAGAAACTCCACTTTCTTTTTCTTTTTTACTTTTAGTTATTGAAACCCACAAATTGGTCCTTTTGGGTATTCATTTGAGATACAAGTTCTTTGGTCCACTTTTTATGTCGCATTCTTTTTCTGCTTCCTTTTTTTCCCCTTGTTATATTTAGTATCAAATATCAAAATTATGTTAATTATATTGTCATATTTTTATGTTAAAATATAGTTTTTTGGTAGGATCTTACAAAGGTTTACAATATTTCACCCCTCTCCAAATCTTAGAAACTATCTCAATTTTGATAACATTGATTGAAAGTCACCTAGGAAAAATAATTTTTTACTTTTAGTTATGTCTAGATAATAAATTCAATAATGCCTTGTCATTCAGTTTACAAATTGTCTGAAATTTTGAACTTGTTGCTCTGTTTTCATCCCTTGAGTGTAGATGCCAACTCTAATGGTTTTAATTAAACAAGACAAAAGTCTTATCCCACTAGGTGGGGGTTGGGTACATAGATCACAAAATGCTATTGGGCTAGGTCAAAACAAAATTTTCAACTGTTTTAATTAAACAGTATTAAAAAAATAAAATTAGATAAAAGATACATTTTGTATTCAAAGTCAGGATAATCACCGCTTCTTTACTCTTTATTTTTGCTTTTGCAAATCTAGAATTCATCTTGACTCACTGCTTCTCATGAATATTTCCTATCATTGTTTTTTTATTTATTCAGGAACCCTTTAATATCATTTATAATATCAGTAATCAATCAATCATTGTGGTTTTTCTAATTCAAGCCACCATAACCATGATTGACTATTGAAATTAGATGGTTTCTTGTTTGGACTTCAAACCATTGAGAACCAAACCAACATTTTAGTTACTCTGCTGTACCATAAATTTTGATGTGGGCTACAACTAGTGCCTATTTTCTTCCAGTTGTTTTTACTGCCTTTAAGAATATTTCATTTCATTGTTCTAGATTTTTGTGGAAATAATGGTGAGCTCTTGTATATTAAATCTTATAACTGTTTAATTTTCAAATACAGAGATGGTCGCTCCTCCAGATCATCACTTGTAGATGGTTTTGATAGTCTGGAGGAAGGTGGTCTAAGGGCTTCTTCTTCTTACTCACGAGAAATTAATGAGCATGATAATGAAAAGGCCATAGAGAGTTTGCATGACAGAGTATCTTTTCTGAAACAAGTAAGTTTTGTCTATTACTATTTCACTCTTGAGGTTTCAATTAAAAATTTCACCTAACATCTGGCTATAAAATTCTTAGTTCTAATTAATGCAAAAGTTCATGGAAAAGTTCTCTTAGGGTATGTTTGGGGGAGGGTTTTTGTAGGGGAAGGGAAGGGAGGGTATATTTTTTAATTTTAAATTAAGAGAATTATATAACATTTATGATGGTAAATGATGATTAATACATTAAGTTTGTGTTAATATATTAATTTATATATATATTTTTTTAAAAACATTAATTTTAAATATATATTTAAAATAAAAAAGTTTCTCTCTCCTCATCTCTCCTCCAAAACTTCCCTTCCCAAACAACTTCTTAGTGTTGAAAGTATTACTTGCATTGGTTCTATTGTTGTTTGCAGTTGGTTATACTTTGTGATGCATATATGTTGTTTCACTTGTTTCTATTTTACCCATTATCATTTTGGATCACTTACTGAAATATTGGGAAACTATTGTTTTTCCTTTTTCTAATTCAGCATTGTCAAAACGAACATGTTCGTAGTTTGCTTTGGAGACCTCTGGCACCAATTAATTTGTAAATAAAGGATCATCAAAATGGATCCTGAGTTTATGTTTACTGCAGGTCTGAAAATGCCTGTTTGTTCGTCAAGGCATATGTACATGCATGGTTGTTAATTTGCTAATTGGTGGTGGTATCTCATCCATTTTAATAGAATTTTTCTTGTCTCTTTTGTATGGGGTTTTAAATTATGGAAATACATTATATCTTACTTTGTCATAATTGGTGTGCTAATTACAAATATACGCATGCACATGTGCATAAAAAATATGACTCATTGCATAATGTTCTAATTATCTGTTTACTAATTTTCTTGGAGGAATCATATAAAGGAAATGATCTATTGGTTTATATTTTCTTTAATTGACTGCTAATATTTATTTGATCAACAGTTAACAGGTGATATACATGAGGAGGTAGAGAGTCATAATCAGTTGCTTGATCGGGTGGTATGTAAACTGTACATTGTTTCGTAAAAATCTCTCTCTTTTTATTCTGATTGGACTCCATTATAAATTAGGGTAACAAAATGGATGGATCAAGGGGTATGATGTTGGGAACCATGGACCGATTCAAGAAGGTAACTTGTTTTCCCTGTTAACTTGCCTTATTTTATCTTCTTTTAATTTCACATTATTGTAAAATGATTTAGTGCATAGAAACTGGATTTTGTAGGTTTTTGAGAAGAAATCGACACGGAAAACATGCTCACTTGCAGCTTATTTCACTTTTGCCTTCATATTCATATACTATCTTATTAGGTAAAATGATGCGATAATCCTTTCACTATTTATTCTTATTACATGTTTACTCTGACATGACTGAAATGAATATCTTTAGATACAATATTCACAGCCCTTTTAGATCCTGTAAGGAATAATATCAAATGTGTGTACATACTTTGGTAGGTTCATAAACAAGGTATGCTTTAAGGAAAAAAATGAAATTATCAAAGGCATTGTTGTCTTCTAGTATTTGTGCTATGCAGAAGTGTTACTGAGTTTCATAATGAAAAAAAGAGTCACTGAATACAGCTGTTGGCTCATTTCTACAGACATTGATTAATTAGTTAGTTGGTATTCATTAGTCATTGGAACTGGAAAGATCTTTTCAATTCACTGATGCAAACTAGCATTTGCTTGGCAGGATGCTTGGATATTTTACACTTGGGTAAATCAAATTTTGTTGAAGCTCATCTATTTTGTTACACCGTGGATGATGGATGTTCAGAAGTAAAATCGTGTGGTCCTCTGCTGTAAAATGTTCGAACGATTCCATTTGGTTAGGAGATGGTATGATGTTCACCTGTGATCACAGAACCTTATTGCACATATGAAGCTTAAACGAAAGTCTATTGCATTCTTCCCTACCTGGTACTGTATCCATTTTTTCACACTTTACACAAGTTTTGAATTAATTTATTATGTAAATTTGAGTAATATGAAATGATTGTATTCAATTGTAATCGCTATTTGGCTTTTACCTTGCGAAACTTGTAGAGTAACACTTCTCACACATGCACCATTGCGATATATCCCGGAATAGTTGGGATCAAATGTACACTTTACATTCATGTTTTCTAACTAAAAATATGTACTTGTCTTATACTTAGGTGCATGAAGTACAAATAATTACCATGAACGTTTAAATTTATCTATTAAATTTTTAAATTTTATTTTGGTACTAAAAGGATAATAGTTCTATATATATATATATATATATATATATTAGTATTTCAGTTTTTTAACTTAGTGAAATAGATAGGTAGTTACCTTTAGTTTACAAATTGCAGACAAAGCTGCATAAGTGAATTAGTTTTGGGCCCAATAAACTTCTCTACTTAAAAGTGAGAGAGCGAAAAATGAATCAACTCATGGAAGATGCATTTTCCATTCTTACTTTCTTGTCCCGTATATCAACTCATTGATTATCCAGTTTGGAGTTTGTAGGGTAAATGTGAGCCTAGGCTTGAATTGAATTGCTTGCTTTCCTAACTACAAAACATATTAAGCCCTTTTATAACAGTCTTAACTTGATGCAGAAAGGCTTTTGTAACCAAAATAATATTATCAACATAAAATGAGAAATTTTATGGCCTTTTTTACTAAAGCAAAAAGGATTCCAACTACCAGAATTAATCTCATTTAAGATACAATGAACCAGTTTTCCATACAAAGGACACAAATATAAATAGATTAAGGATCTCTTTGACAAATATCTCTTAAAGTAAAAAAGAAAAACCAAAAGTTTCCTGTTATATGTTATGCACATAAATGATGTAGATATACACTGAAAAACCAGACTAACAAAAAGGTGTCCCAAACCAGCCTCGGGCATATATCCTTCCCAAACCAGTCTGTTATTCGTTTTCTCTAAAGGAGTACACTAATTTTTGAATGATGAAAACATTATCTATTCCTTGTCTTCTCGGGACAAACCTATATTGGTTATCCAAAATCAAATAAGGAAAAAATTATTAAATCTATTTGCTAGAAGTTTAGTTATAATCTTATAACGCACATTGCAAAAAGGAATTAGTCTAAATTGGTTAATTTTATTTGGAGACTAAATTTCAAGTATTAAGATTAAAACATTTTGATTAACTATCATAATGATAGATGGATTAACAAAAACATCTTTAATAAAACTAAAGTTTTAAAAATGAAGCATGCAAGTCATCCAGACTAAGAGATTTATAATTATATGTACTAATTAGGACCACTTTCATCTCATTAATAAAAAGCCCTCTAAACAAATTTTCAACTTCAAGAAACTCAATATTGAAAAATATATTAAATTTTCTAAATTATCTCCTATAGAAATAAGTTCAAAATATAATCTAGTAAAATAAATAGTAACTATCTCTTTTCAAGATATCACAATCATAAATTTAAATATTTCTATTCATTAGAGTTTCAATTCTATTTTGTGCCTACAAATTAAAGCAATTTTGTGAAAATATTTATTATTCTTATCACTTAATTTAATCCACTTATTTCTAAAATGACAAAAATAAAAATTTATTATTCTAATCTCATTGTTATTAATTTCATATTTTGCCAAAAACTTGTTCGGAGGGCAAGTGTACCCATCGAGAAGTAATAAAGGGTTCTTAAATTAAGTTCCCGAAATATCGTCCCATAAGGATTGTTTTTTAATTACTAAGAATTTCTTAATTCAATTGTTTAAGCTTCAAAGATATGAGATTAATTAAAATAAGAATTTATAATTATAAACTAAGAACAAGGAATACAATGCACGTCTTGATTAAACTTATCGGAGAGGAACCTAGGGTATATGGATTTTCTCATTTAATCCTTTATGTTATTTTTCTGTTTAACTCTAAATTCGATTTCCTTGTGATTGCCAATCATTCATACAAATACTATTAATATCCAATGGTCATGCAATATTAATATTCTTTTCTCTAAATTAACATCTCCAATGGTCATGCAATACATCAATTTAAGAAAGCATAAGGAACCTATGAACTTGTTAATTTAATAACGATTAGAAGAGAAAGATTAGTTTGGTCCATCTAATCCTTTGTCTCGTTTTACCCTATAAATCTATTAATTAATCGAGGTACGGTCGCCTGACAATATAATTAATTAGGATTAAGAAAGAAGTGCAATAGGATAAAATCTAATTACAAAACAGAAATCAAATTTAGATTCAAACATTAAAATTCCATAAATTCATAAACAATATTTCCCATAGCCCTAGCTATGGACTTAGTTACTCATGCTAAAGAAAAGAACTAAAACAATAATAAATAAAGCCATAATCAAAAGAAATAGCAAACTAGAGTATGAGATGTGTTTCCGGTCTTCAAGTACGATCGCTTGAAGCTCCAAGTCTCCCCAAGCATGTGCCAAGGATCCCGTGCAAGAGAGACGAGATCAGATGTATTCTAGAGCAAAAGCTAAGATGTAAAAACGGTGTAAAAATGCCTATCCAAGATGCCTTCGGTCTTCCTTTTAATAGGGTTTTAAAACCCTAAAAACTCTAATTAATTGGGCTTCCCGCAGATGAGCACGATCGTGCAAGGCCTTAGCATGATCGTGCTTGGGCTCGAAGCACTCCCGTGCTTGTTTCAAGGGGCTGGGCATGCTGACTGCTGCGGAGCTCTAATCTTCTATCAATTTGGGCCTAAAATGTGCCCAAAATATACTTGCGGTCTCTTTATACAAAAATGCATAATTAATAAATAAATTAGTGTAAAACCCAAATAAAATAAAGATTAAATATGAATATATGGGCTATAAAAGAGGGCATAATTATAGACTTATCATTATCAAAAATCAAATAAGGAAAAAATTATTAAGTCTATTAGCTAGAAGTTTAGTTATAATCTTATAACGCACATTGCAAAAAGAAATTAATCTAAATTGATTAATTTTATTTGGAGACTAAATTTCAAGTATTAAGATTGAGACATTTTGATTAACTATCATAATGATAGATGGATTAACAAAAACATCATTAATAAAACTAAAGTTTTAAAAATGAAGCATGCAAGTCATCCAAACTAAGAGATTTATAATTATCTGTACTAATTAGGACCACTTTTATCTCATTAATAAAAAGCCCTCTAAATAAATTTTCAACATCAAGAAACTTAATATTGAAAAATATATTAAATTTTCTAAATTATCTCCTATAGAAATAAGTTCAAAATATAATCTAGTAAAATAAATAGTAACTATCTCTTTTCAAGATATCACAATCATAAATTTAAATATTTCTATTCATTAGAGTTTCAATTCTATTTTGTGCTTACAGGTTAAAGCAATTTTGTGAAAATATTTATTATTCTTATCACTTAATTTAATCCACTTAGTTCTAAAATGACAAAAACAAAAATTTATTATTCTAATCTCATTGTTATTAATTTCATGTGAATATCAATAATTCTATTAAATATTTTTTTTTTGTTGAAAATATTTTTGAACACTGTTTTATTCGAAATTGAAATATTATCCCTAAAACTATCAACATTATCTTGTAGTTGTTATTCAAATTTCAAGACATTTTCACATTATTTTAAAAGTCATGATATTAAAGGTAGTAAAGAATAAAAAGAAACTACCACTTTTGTGAGTGAAAGATTGAGATCTAATTTTTAACCATAGAGTTATATGGTTAGCGTAGCAATAAGAACATAGATAAGAGAAATGTTTTTTAAAAATTCTCTATGAATCACTTATTACAACTCTATCTATTCTTTCCTTTAAACTCCTTTTACTCCAAGTATAAGGCACATCCTTAAAACCCACATTAGAAAGATCACAATTATCCAGGCAAGAAGTAAGATTTAAAATGGTTCTATAGTTAGGAGACCCACACCCTATTTTTATAATCAATTGAAATTGAGTTAAAATCCCTAGTCACGTGCTAGTTGAAGATGGCCAAAATGCAAACTCTGCTAATCCTTGGAAATGACCTTACTTAAAACATTTTTAATTGAACCACCCTCTTTACAATTTTAATATATTTATTTTTGACAAATTTTCATAAGTTCCATAATTTTGTCTCTTTTCTTTTTGAATTCTATTTCCAATGGTTTTGTTTCATTAGCCTTATGTATTTTGCAAGTGTCTCATGCAACCTTGCCTCACTCTCTTTGATAGTATGAAAATGAAAACCATCCTTTACTTTTGACATTTTTTTTAATATTTCAAATTTCAAATCTAGACCTTGACTTAGCCTCTTTCAATTTTCCCAAATTATATTGGTTAATCTGATTCCTATTTGGGTTATATTTCTTACATTTGGCTCTTTTAACTATCATCCAAGGACCAAATAATTTATAATTATTATCATTTTCTACTTCAACACCAATAGAATTATCCCACTACATCCTATTTTTGTCATGTGTTTAATTATTAATAACCTTATTTGATACATTTTCTTTTGGTTCTTGATCAAAATTATTAACTAGTTTAACCTACTTAGGCAGCTCTATAAACTTTTCTTGACTATATTTACCATAATAGAAACAAATCAAATATAAAGTGTCACATTCAATGTAAATTATTGACCTAAAATTTTAGAAGATGGAATAAGTTTCTTTCTTAAGTCTACCTTTGTGCGTATTCTAACAATTCTTTTTAAAAGGATAGAAGTATTAATGTCAATTTTAAGCATTGATTCGAATGACCAGCCTATCTATACTAGAGAATTTTTTCATTATGTAATTCCATTAATGTTTGTTTCAAGATTGGTAAACAAAGAACTCAAAAAGTTATTGAATAAGAATAAAGTGGTGGCTCCTTAAAGGTGCAAGACAATTGAACTTTAAGAAATAGTTAATAGAAGATGGTAGTTGGAATGCACAAGGTAGTGTTAACAATATTT